TCAAGATCAACATTCATTTCTAACATTCTTCTGGGAGCTAATTTTTACGAAAATACAGGCCATTTTCGAAGACGTTATTTTGCGAGCTGTCATTTGTGATATGCTAATGTTTGTTAATTAATTATGAAGACGCAATACCAGTTATAATCTTACATTTATGCTCATTTGAATCTAAGTATATTCAAGATCAACATTCATTTCTAACATTCTTCTGGGAGCTCATGTTTACGTAAATACAAGCCATTTTCGAAGACGCTATTTCCCCTACTCATTTGTGTAATACCAAAGTTTGTTAATCAATTATGAGGACACCATTGCAGCTACAAATTAACATTTGGACTCATTTTAATCCGTGTATATTCAAGATCAACATCCATCTATAAAATTCTTCTGGGAGCTCCAATTTACTAAAACACAGATCATTATCCAAGTCGTTGTTTTCCTATTTGTTTTTCAAAGTGTATGTGTATGTTTGGTTGCAGACTGTTTCCTGAATATTCCGAATTATGTCTGTGTTATAATCTTATATTTATGCTCATTTAAATCTACGTATATTCAAGATTAACATTCATTTCTAACATTCTTGTGGGACCTCATGTTTACGAAAATACAGGCCATTTTCGAAGACGTTATTTTGCCAGATGTCATTTGCGATATGCCAATGTTTGTTAATTAATTATGAAGACTCTATAGCAGTTACAATCTTATATTTATGCTTATTTCAATATATGTATATTCAAGATCAACATTTAATTCTAACATTCTTCTAGGAGCCCATGTTTACGTAAATTCAAGCCATTTTCGAAGACGCTATTTTCTCAACTCATTTGTGAAATACCAAAGTTTGTTAATCAATTATGAGGATACCATTGCAGCTACAAATTAAGATTTACGCTCATTTTAATCAGTGTATATTCAAGATCAACATCCATATATAAAATTCTTCTGGGAGCTCCAGTTTACTAAAATACAGACCATTATCCAAGTCGTTGTTTTCCTATTCGTTTTTCAAAGTGTATGTGTATGTTTGGTTGCAGACTGTTTCCTTAATATTCTGAAAGATATGTCTGCTTATCAGCTATAATTTTATATTTACGCTCATTTTAATCTGTGTATATTCAAGATCTACATCCATTTATAACATTATTTTGGGAGCTTATTTTTACGAAAATAGAAGCCATTTTCGAATAGGCTATTTTCCCAGTTTTCCTTTGACTCACTTGGACTCTCCCAATTAAGACCAACTTCTCCGTTGGCCCTCTTACTAAGACTTCCTCTCAGTTCGGTCCCCTGACCACCCCTGACGAAGACTAAATTATATAATACAGAAATGTGTTCATTTCAAAAAGGGGCTGCGTGGGAGGTAAGGGTTTGACCTTGTGGAAAATACAACCGTTTCTTTATCTAAGTTTTATGATCCTACCCAAATGTTTAGGGGCGGAAGAAGGCTGTTAAGTGGTGATACAAAAGACGCAACTATACGATTTAATGTGTAACAGTCCTTCGGTATATTCCACAAGTTATTCTAAATATTCACGTACAAGTATCCGTTTTTATATTTGATGGATACGTTAAATATGATTTGTAATAATTAAGAGGAAAGTGGTAGACCTAACAAATATACATATTAATTATACAATAGATGACAATAAATTGGTCGGCCACGACAATATTCAAGATCAACTTCCATTTATAACATTATTCTAGGAGCTCATGCTTACGATAATACAGGCTATTTTCTAAAATGCTATTTTCCCAACTCATTTGTGAAATACCAATGTTTGTTAATCAATTATGAAGACACCATTGCAGCTACCAACTAATATTTACTTTAATTTTAATCTGTGTATATTCAAGATCAATATTCTTATATAACATTCTTCTGGGAGCTCATGTTTACAAAAATACAGCCCATTTTCGAAGACGTTATTTTGCCAAATCATATGTGAAATACCAAAGTTTGTTAATCAATTATGAGAGCACCTTTGTAGCTACAAATTAACATTTGTGCTCATTTTAATCCGTGTATATTGAAGATCAACTTCCATTTATAACATTCTTCTGGGAGCTCATGGTTACGAAAATACAGGCCATTTTCGAAGACGCTATTTTCCCAAATCATTTGTGAAATACCAAAGTTTGTTAATCAATTATGAGGACACCATTGCAGCTACAAATTAACATTTACACTCATTTTAATTCGTGTATATTCAAGATCAATATTATTATATAACATTCTTCTGGGAGCTCATGTTTACAAAAATACAGCCAATTTTCGAAGACGTTATTTTGCCAAATAATATGTGAAATACCAAAGTTTGTTAATCAATTATGAGAGCACCTTTGTAGCTACAAATTATCATTTGTGATCATTTTAATCCGTGTATATTCAAGATCAACTTCCATTTATAACATTCTTCTGGCAGCTCATGGCTACGAAAATACAGGCCATTTTCGAAGACGCTATTTTCCCAAATAATTTGTGAAATACCAAAGTTTGTTAATCAATTATGACAACACCATTGCAGCTACAAATTAACATTTGCGCTCATTTTAATCCGTGTATATTCAAGATCAATATCCATTTATAACATTCTTCTGGGAGCTCAAGTTTACTAAAATACAGGCCATTATCTAACTCGTTGTTTTCCTATTTGCCTATTTGTTCTTCAAAGTGTATGTGTATGTTTGGTTGCAGACTGTTTCCTGAATATTCCAAAAGATGTCTCTGCTTGTCTTAATTAAAATACATATAACTCGAAATATAATTAGTATTTTAATTATTAGACTAAAGGAATAACATGATATTCATTCAAGCACTATTCTGATATGTTTGTTTATTTAGATTAGAACGATTTTAAGGAAGTGGAATTTGTGCAGCGCCAAAATGCCTGAACTACAACCTTTGTTATATTGTTAACAGATGGCAATAGCTATCACAAAAATGGTATATTCTTTTTGCGCCTAAAGTGCAGGCAACTAAATATACATATAAACTATGATTAAAAAGTGGTTTGATAAAGAACTTTGATCATGAAAACTCCCAGATGAATTTTGGATATAAATTTTGATGTTTAATATACAGACAGTTTCTTGATTATTCCGACAGATTTTTTTTTTGATTCGCAAAATCCGCCAACTCATCAAAGCTTAATAACTTTCTTATTAATTGACCAAAACGAATTTGCTTAATAGCAAACGAAAGCGAAAGAATTATTTTTTAAAACAGTAAATTAAAAGTTTCAAAGATATATGAATATAACCATTTATTTAACTATTTTTTTCAATTTGCTGCAATACCTTCATTAACACATCAAATACGCAAATTAAAGAGAAAACTACAACTTTTTCAATGATCTCAGCATTTTGGTTTGGTCTGTACATCTACTAAAAGTTATCAAAATTAAGCATTTTAATTTCATTCTCAATATAATTACCTCATCACAATTTAAAGCTGAATAACTCACCTTTCCAACAAAACTATTGGCATCTTCGTGCTGTCGCGGAGTCACCTGCTACAAGCTGGAGAAATTGGAAAAAAAAGTGAATAGGATTTTCTTAAAAATCGCTGATTCGTTAAGATCCGACGAGTTTTCACGCGTTTTCTTAATTACATGAAAATTACGTAAATTTTGATACATTTCATGATTGGGTAAGATGGTCGCTATCCTTACGTACCTTAAGATAATTACATCATCGACGATACAACAATTTAAAGCTGATACCTCACCTTCCTCAAACTTTTTGGTCTGCAACCCCCAAAAGGGGTTTGGACATACAAAGTTTCTGCGACCTACCGATCCACAGTTTGAAAATCTCTGTTTTAACATAACTGAACAGAACGAAATTACTGAAGAAACTTACATCGTTCGACGTATTTGTATTAATAAAATGACTTTATTTGGGTCAAAAAAGTAAAGTAATTTATAAATCAATTAGTATATTATTGTTTAATGCTTATAAGATTAATGACTCGAATAAAATTATTAAATAAATTACTGAAAGTAATAATAAACAAAATATATGCAACAAACATTTCGCATGGACTAATAAAAAAAAAATGTGAATGATAAAAAAAAGGAGTTAATAAAATCAGATTGTTCAAGATGGAGAAAGGATATTACAAACGTGGATTTGTTCTGAATTACTATGGAAGCCAAGGATCTGAGTCCTCTGAAACCAATAATAGATCAATAGACGCTGAACTTATAGCCGACAGGTGTAGGATATCCATTGAAGGCAAGAACAACATGATCTGTATAGAGGGCCATCCAACAAGGAAGAGGAACAAATCAACTCGATAATTGTACAATGTTACATTCATTCTTGGCATAATAAAAATACAGGTTATTAATAAATTAAACTACTCTATCCCTATAGAACGTCATTAAATAATGGGTAATGTTAAATCCTCCACCAATGCTCACAACATAGAATATCAGAGCCAAAGGTATGGGTACAAGTATGATCTGAGTCCTATGTAGGAAATGCAATGAGCTATAACCAAGGAATGTAATGTAGATGTAGTAGCATATAGCTATTAACCAGAACGTGTTTCCCAAAAACCTCGACGCAAACCATTCGTGACTGATCAAACCTAAAAATCAAAGATCATGAAAATCACATTTCAATTAAAGCTTCATTATTTTACCATTGTAAAAGAACAGTTGACAAAAATGTAAGATAATCAAAGGTGGGAAAAACGCGTTGAGATGCACATCAAAGGCATAACCCCATTCAACATCATTGTCATGATCATTCAACCTGAAATACTTGTTCAATATATACCTGAAAACAATCAATTTTCTTTAGAGATTCAACAAAATAAGTTTACCTAAATATACCAAAACATTGTTGCTATTATTATACCAGCACCTATGCAATCTACAAAAATAACATAGAGCAAGAAGTTTAGGAACTGCACAAATCCCAAGTGTAATGCTACAGCAAAGCCTATAGATGTAACTGCAAATTGTTTAACGTTAAACAGATATTTAATCATTTGTGAATAGTACTAACCACATAGCCAGGCAGAAAACAATACTAAGAAAGCAGGATCATCCCTTGCAAACTGTGATTTTGTTTCTAAAACATAAATTAAAATTAACAAACACTTGCAATCAAATATCTAATAATTGGCTTACGTTTTCTATACTGACAATTCCGATAAACCTTTTGTGGTGAGATGAAGAGGTATAACATTTGCCAGAATGCGAACTCAAAGTCCATTTGATCGAATTTCAGCATGCGTCTCAGGTATTTGTAACATTTTGTTGCTGCAGACATGCAATCCCTATGTTGATTTGCTGGTAAGGGCAGGGAATTCCTTTTGTGGGACATCTTAATGCTATAAATATATAAACTTTAAGTTTCTACAAACGTGTTTACAACAATTGTTTCTTACTTTCTATTAAGGTCTAATACAGACCATTAAACGTTACAAAAAGTATCTTCCACTTGGATTTCACAAGGCAATCAACACCAACTGAAACAATCAAATTAAAGTTTCAGGTAAACACTGATTACCATTTACTCTGATTTACTTATTCTCAAGTACAATCGTCATTTGACAACATATCACAATATACGCAACATATCAAACATTTGGGTTTTGGGAAAACATAATCATTAATTGAGAGGTCGTTGTCATCGAATTCCAGTTCAGTTTTAAACTAAAAGAGGGCATAAACTGTTTTTCATCAACATTCAATGAATCTATCCTTTAACAACAGCTTACATTAAGTATATTCATACAAATAGTTTATTTATTTCAATTTAATATAGTACGAAATAGTAGTTCAAGATGTCGCTATAATTATCCTTTACTGTCCTTGTAACTACAGCTGACTAAGGCCTAATCATTGCTAATCATACCCAGCTTAGCCAAGGTAGAGGTGGGTAGAGGCTAGTACAAGCCAGCTTGGTACAAGCTGGGCGAGTAGTAGCGATCATAAACGACTTTAAACGATTTCAGTGTAAAGACTACAGTATTATACCAATAAACATTATTTAACCTCAAACTTCACAATGGATAACGAACTAAACAAACCTTCCAAGGGGAACAAAGACACAGTAGATAAACCAAATAGTACAGAAAATGAGATTGAAGTGAGTATTGTCGCCTTAATTACAAAATTGATCATTTAATAATAATAAACCTATTTCTAATAGTACAAACCATGTTTCACATGCAATGGGTTTTATGGGCCCAGCTATGAAGATCCAATTTGCCCAGTATGTCACAGCTTCCTGTTAAGAAATCCCCCATTGCACAACCACTATCAAACTTGTCTGTCAGATGACAAAGATGATGAGGATTCAGGCAATGATGAGCCTGATGAGGATATTGATAGATCGACAGGACTTGAGCCTGCTGGTAATGAACCAATTGTGAATGTGGCGAGAACCAGTGACAATGATTTAAGTGGGGTTACTCATATTGAGCAATTCCCACCAGAAGGTATTTAATGTGAATATAATCTAATTGTGAATATAATCTAATCAATATGTTTTAGTAATGATCCTTACGTTTTCCTTTCTTGACGATTTGTCTTTGTGGGCTGCTGCTAAGGTCAATCGAAGATGGAGGGAAATCATTATGAGGAAAGTTACTTGTGGAAGGTACTGGGAAAAAATTGTTGAGCAGAGATGGCCCTTGCTTCAGATGGGTGGAACTAATTGTGACTGGTTCCAGGTAATTTTCACTTATTACAACTTAAATATAAAATATTCTGGAATATTATTTCAAATTTATGTTGTAATGATGTTTATGTTATATTCAAAGGTATACTCTTCCCTGGTGAGGAGTAGTTGTTGCCTGAAATGCCTCAGGCACTTAGCTTTTTGGGTATTACCAGTAGAAGAGGAATCATATTGGAGACATAACAGGCTGTGCAGGGAATTGAAGGCTTTGGAAATAGATCCACCGGACGGTATCAAAGCGATTCCTTTGGATCCGATGTACTGCCATTGGATGGCGTCAATAAAGGGCCCAGAAGGAAGTCCGTATGAAGGAGGGATTTTCTTCCTGTACATTATAATACCATATGCCTATCCTATGACGCCACCAATTGTGCGATTCATAACAAAAATTTTTCATCCTAACATATCTAGGCACGGCGATATCGGAATCGATAGTATTTTGAACAATTGGTCTTTAGCCTTAACCATTTGTAAGGTGTTGATATCAATACAATCGCTATTGACAGATCCAGTATGTGAGGTAATATAATTATAAATATTTTATCAAAAGAAAAATAACAATTATAGGATTATAACTTTAGGAATATCAATAACATTTTAAAGTTAGGAATTTCAGTTATTTGCTAAATCATTGTTTAAAGATTGTTAATTGAATATAAGTTTTATAAGATATATTTTATATTTCAGATCTGCATGGAACCTGTGATAGGTCATCTATACCTTACTAACCGAGCCAAATACGATGACATGGCTAGAGATTGGACGTGGAATTACGCTATGACTCAACTTCTTCCGCACTAAATCTTCCCTTATTTGTATTAAGATTGGAACTGAATCTATTTAGTCACTGTGTTTTTTACATTAATTGACAATTTTCAATTGATACAACTTCCATAATATAATTTATATTATTTTATAAATTTTAAATAGTACCTATTTAATATTTTTATGTTTATGTATAATAAAATTTCTTCCAAAACGTTGAAAATAATCTATTTATTTGTAATTCCATTAATTTCTCGACAACCCCTTAAGATAATTTAATCATCGACCACTCGTATGAAAGCTGAATGTCTCATGCCTATTGGCATCTTGGTACTGTCATCGAGTCGCCTGCTAGGAGGTGTAGAAATTGAAAAAACAGAGAAACGACGTTTCTTTTTCATTCTTTTCAGTTTATTGTGGATTTCTCGACAACCCCTTAAGATAATTTCGTCGTCGAACACTCGTATGAAAGCTGAATGTCTCAGCTTTCCAACGAGCTTAT